GGACTAACCAGTCCTCTTGTAGGATACGCCACGCATTCTATATTTCTATTAAGACGTAATCACATTGAATACAATTCGGCCTATGCAATGACGTACGGTGGACATCCAATATACGAGTAAGAATATTCATGCCCGAAGACGAATGCGATACCTCTCATTGACCCTAAGGGATGCAATGATAGGTTGTCCAATGCTTGATCTCCGGACCGTACACATGAAAATCGCTGCTTGCTGCTACACCGCCTTCCGCTAGGCTAACGTAATAATTTCTTATCAAAGGAATTGTACCATTCGAAGCATAGAAAACAAAGGGATATATGGTAAAGGACCAGGTACATAGCTACATTGGTTGACAAGCAAATGTTGATCCAGGTTCAACTTAGGTCCGAACTGAATTTTTTTGCCCCCAAATCAGCCTCCTTCCAAAAACGAGTCTTTCTTCCAGGAATGGGATGTGCTTTGTTTGCTGTCCTATACATGAGGATCCAGATCGAAGAGCGGTCGCTACTGTTCGGATGTCTAGGGCTCCATTCCTGGAATGATTCTTGGATTTGCCTTTGTATGTTTGTCTTGGGGGTTCTGCCACAGAATTAAGTGAGAGACATTGCTTGCTTTTCAGGTCGATGATCTGCTTGATGGACCTCAGAAAAAGATGCTCTTCGTCTCAATATGGTGTTCTTTCGCGATAGCTCTCTACCTCTTGAATTCACAGAAGAAACGAACAACATATTCTATCATTCCTGACTTCAAGCCCTGGAAAGCTCTGGTACTGGTTGTAACAGGATTTGTTGGAGGTCAGTTCGAGGTTCGAACGTTGTGTGCGAGCTATAAGTGCCGTTTGGTGCAGAGCCTTACAGTTGGTGTAGGCAGGTCTGAATAGATGCGGAGCGGTTGCACATAGGCTGGGACAGGGGGTAAAGGAGCACTTGAGCATTCACAGAAGTCCTTGCTTGACAGGGTGACGTCTTTCTAACAAAATCAGTAATAGAATGGTCGATGCTGAACAATCCTCCCAAATCGCGTCACACATTTGGCTTCCATTCAGGGTCGCTCAGGCATTTAGATGCGATTTTGGCCGGCTTTTCGATTGTGGTGCATGAAGGCATCGTGCACTGACACTGTATGATTTTATCTTCCCCATGAATCAGTATGTAGCTTGAGACCCATTCTTCATAACGAATGAGAAGAACGCGAAAGTAGTCTCCTTTAGTGAACAATTCAAAAGACCGAACAATATGATACATTTCCAAATTTCCGCCGTCGAACTGTCACAGTCTAGGCCGATGTCAGACTTTGCGAATCGCTAGATGCGAGCGATGCACCAGCGGTTCGAACAATGTACTAGCTCGAATGATGTTGCAAGCGACTTGAGGGTTTTGAATGTGGCGGGTCTAGACTCCTGCACCTATCATACACCGGTACATCTTTCAAATCGCTGGTACATCCTCTCATCCGCTGGTGCATCGCTCGTACCCAACGATTTGCAAAGTCTGACATCGGCGGGAATTTGTTCGGGTTCTAGTGCATCCTAAGCTATCGCTTTAAAACTTTGGCACTATTGCAATATTACAACCACCAAACGAGTCGAAGAAACTTCCCCGAAACTTCCCCCTGTAAAGCTTATTATGCGCCCTGATCAGAAGTAGGGCATCGTTTCTGACGTTGACACCTTTTGGCGCTGTTCGCGCCATTGAAAACTAAAGTGTGCAGGTTAATTGGTGTCCTGATAACGGATATAGCACACGTTTTCAACGTTGGCGTCATCTGGAGCCTGGGTTTGTATTAGTGCAACAGTGCCGAAAATTCTACCCTTCCTTTCAAAAAACGAGAAGAGCGTCGGGTGCAGACCATACACCACAAGTGACGACGGCCTCCAAGTAAATCTGGTTAGTAGTGGTTCATAGTGATAGGTAAATGATAGTTGTAATTAGTGACAACTGATAGAATACAACTGCAACAGGCTAATCATTTCATTGGCAGAAAACATTTACATTTTGTGGAGGCCGTCGTCACTTGTGGTGTATGGTCTGCACCCGACGCTTTCTCGTTTTTTGAAAGGGAGGTACATATATGGAATGCAGTATACTGTACTGTGGCTCCGAAGCGCAAATGTGGCTGACGATTGTTGTCGCGCGTGTAGACGTGCTTGGTAGTTCAACAGCGAATGCGAGTAAGATATCCGTGTCGGCACAGTACTATAGGTCATCTGGAACTGAACCAGTAAAAAAGTACCGCACTAATGATTTATTCCTTCATCTTTTTGACTTAGGTATATTCACGTCATTCGCTGGTTCCGGAGTAGACATATGTATTTTCTCCATCAACACGTTGCTGTTCCGCGTTTCTGAGAAGACAGCGACACCCACGACAGTTGTGATGATGGGTAGGGTATCGACTCACTAGGCCCTTCTCATAGTCTTTTTATTTCCATGTTTAGGGCTGAACTCTATGGTAGGGATGTACTGTCGTGCAATATGGTACGCTAATGTATCCGAGCTCACAATAGAGTATCTGAAAGTCACAATACCGGTCGCAGTGACCATGGCGCCAGTCGGAAGTTTTCTCGGCTCACACTTCCATAGACAGGTAAAGTCAAGAGCATGTGGTAAGATAAACTCCATGTTTAGAACGAGCCAATCTGCGTACCATAAGAGGGAGCCGCTCCGTCCCGCCACAGAAGCGAAACGTGGCGCTTTTGTGAGGAAAGAGCGCGAGTGCAAGGTTTTACCCAACCCATTGAACGCCTCATCCCTCTGTCTGCCTACCGATTGGCTACCGCGGCTGCTGGTCCCTCACCGTCGGACTCTAGTCGTTTTGACGCAGAGGAGACCAGGGCGTTCACAATGGAAAAGGAGTCCCGTAAGCTGGGTTTTAGTCCGATTCCCTTGATGTTCTCTTCACTGCTACACCTTCTAGCATCACTACCTCATTCCCAACAGGAGATCAATTTATCGTACCACCTGCCTCAAATACAAAGGCTTAGCAATTGTAAATCATGCGCTTGTCATACCACATAAGTTGTAGGCATTTTGGATAGGCTTGTCAAGGAAAACAAATAGTAACGAGAGGGTTATGATGAATTTATTCCAATGAGCAAACGCAGGAACAGTAAATAGACTCTCCGCATATCACCGTGGGCGCAGGGTGCCTCAGGGGGAGTGAGGGGGGGAGTCTATAGGAAAGCCACTACGACTAATGTGACGGGAAGGACGAATTCCGGAGGGAAGAGAGTTGCTTACGCACCTCAGATTCCCTTTCTCCTCCGAAGCTTGGTCTTAAGACTCAGTGTCCATGAATCTCCGCAATGTAACGGGCTGCCCCCTAAGACACACTGCGCCACATGGTGTTGTGCAAGGTTTTACCTCACATGCGCCTTTGATAGAATCATAGAATATCTAAAACGTGAGTGGACTCATTCTTCCTGCGTTCCCCGCCTTTTCCGCAATGCGCTACAACTTTCATATTTACCAGTTCAGTATCCCTTACGTTCATCTTCCGTGAGTCTTGCCTTTAATTGATATTTCATTGAAATTTTGTAAATAAAGTATATATATATCACACAGGTTCTGGCCTGCTTCGTCTACATTTTGGAGGCTCTTTCGCTGATAGGGTTCCTGATTACGGGCCCGCCATTGCCGCTTGGTAAGTTGTTGCTTCACACAGTTCAGCTATACCATCCCAGTAATCGATTATCGATTTTCTCTGATTAAGTGCTCTTCGGTGCTGGAATCATCGTGATCTCGTTCTTTTTCTTCTACATCATAAGTAAATTTGGAGAAATGCTCATGGTCAGCAAGGAGACACGAGCGGACCATACTGCATAGAGCGGGTTGCGTCATTGCGAAGCCAAAAGAAGACATACCAGTGGAGCTAACCTCCCCTTCAAAAAGCGAGAAAGTGTCGGGTGCAGACCAAACACCACAACTGACGACGGCCTCCAAGTAAATCTGGTTAGAAGTTGTTCATAGTGATAGCTGATTTCTGGTAAATGATAGTTGTAATTAGTGACAATCGATAGAATACAACTGCAACAGGCTAATCATTTCATTGGCAGAAAACATTTA